ATGAATCTGGCATTGCTATAGAATCAAGTGAGGCATTGATTCCAAAATATTTGTTAAGTAGGTAAATTCAAATAAGTACATTATTAGATTCTTTATACACGCATCTTTTATAACTTTTAAATTGTTAATGAGCTGAAATATTCCTCTCGATTACTTAAAAATTTCTTCTATGTTATAATACTATGCTTGAAATATCAACTATGCTAGAACACACTATGCTAGGAGAAGAAAATTCAGTTTTTGGAGCAAAGCGAGGAACTTATTGACTTGTGCCGAAATATAAAAACTTATCTTACATTTAAAGTGCCAAAATTCAAAAGATCAATTTCTCTTTTAAAATGAAATTTGGCCGATATTAGCTATATAGATTATATAGTTGTAAAAAGCTATAATCTATATTATTCAAATTAATTATACTCTTTTACATCCAGTTTTCTGGTTTTTTTAATGTCTTAAAACGATTTTTATTTCTTCATAAGCTCATAACAAATTGATATAGGTTTCATTCACATTCTCAACAAAATATGCTATTGTTTTATTCATTACTAGGCTTTTTTTCTCTTTATTTTGATTAAAAATGTGATTTAACAATTATGTATGTGTTACAGGTATTGATTCTATCCGCAATATTTTCTTCCCCCGTAACTATTAGGATTGCAACTAATGATAAAAAATAAAAAACGTTGTCCAACATAAAAAAGAGTTTGCTTTTGATAAAAACTTTCATCAAGTAATAATTAACTTTATCATATAAGAATAAATTTATGTAAAAATATTTTTCCGACCAATATTATAGATATTTCAGATTCATTCTTGAACAGAATCTAATCTTATACCAAAATAAGGAAGAAAAATCAGAAAAAAAAATTTGCAGACATAAATATTTATTAAAAAATCAATGGCTGTAATTTTTTTTATTATAAGAAGTATACACATCTTAACGACCATTTCAATTCTGTAAATCAATTAAACTGTCATAATATAAAAATTCATAGCGATCTTCAACAATTGTTTAATATAGTGAAAATAATACATTAATTGCCTAAACATACAAATAAGTATTTAAATCATTGAACATTTCAGATGTATTTATTCAGATTGAAACTGCATCTAATATCTGAATAAAAATAATTGTTTTTGTTTATTTATATCAAAAATACCTACTATTTTCAATATTACGTCATCAAACTAATCCATCTCATGTATTTATCTTTTCCATAAAAGCCTCCTTTCACAGTATACATGTATCTAGCATTATACATCACATCAATATCATCTTTTTTCGTTTTTCCAAAGGTTGTATAATACATAACATACTCATAATCTAATAAATTCCTTATTTCTTTTGCTGCTTTTTTCACTTCTTCAGTATTTTCAAAGTCAGAAGTGAAGCATCTAGTCACACCTTTTCTCGGATTACAAGCCACTGTTGAAGATACAATGGACGTAACTACGCCACTCTCACACAAGCTTTTCAACACCTCCAATCTGTGATCGATTTGTTTCACGTCACCGAAAGAATGCAATGTCCATCTGCCTCTCTTTTTCATTGTTTTTTCTGTGAATGTTATTCTGTGTGTTTCTGTAAAAAAAACACAAATTTGTAAACCATTTAAGCAGAACATTTGAGTCTAAAAAGTAATAAACTATTAGACAATAAATAACATTGGACGAAAATATAAGACAATTTGTTAGGATTCAATTATACTAACTAATATTGCCGTTATATAGGCGAAAATATGACTCTAATAAATTTCTAATGAGAAGTTACAAATGCATTCTTTTTCAGTTGTTAGAAACATATCCTTTTTATTCATAGTCCACTCAATAATGAATACATAAAATTGAGTAAATTGAATTCAGTTTTAATAAAATTTAATTAAGTTATAATTGTTGACTCAAGTTAAAACTAAGTTTAATCAATTTTTAAGTTTCATTCAGTTTTAAAGTTTTCTGTATTAATTGTAAAGTAAAATTTCCAATGACTTATTATTGTCAATAAAATTATTATAAAAGTAACAATTTACTTACCTTTTTGATATTTTAAATTTAAATTTTCCCTCTTGATATTTTAAATTTATATTTTCCCCTCTTATATTTTAAATTCAAATTTCCTCCCTAGTTGATAGTTCTTTCAAAAATATAATAGAAGAAAATTTGAGACAGGGATCTGATTCATAACCAAATATGTAGAGTATCACCCCTGATAAACTCAAACTAATTAAATAAAATAAAAAAATCTACTGAGTTGTCGGAATTAAAGAATCAATCTATATGACAACCAATGAAGATGGAAAACGTCATTGTATAAAATGCAAATTGTATACATTTGTATTAATAAAGGAATACTTTTTGTAATGCTATGTGGTTGTGTATCCGGTGTGTATACTGTTTTCTATGTATTCCTTCTTATACTTCCAAAGGAAAAAGGTCATTTTATAGTACATTCTTACCCGATATTCCCTTCAACACTAATATTTTTTACTCAGCAGAATAATTCATTTTCAGATGAATTCTTGCGGGTGTTTCCTACATTGATATTCTTTTATAGAAATAAGCATTACTTGATATAAGTTGGTCGTTAATTTTTAGAATACTGTTGATTTCAACATCGAAAATATTAATAGTAACTGAATTAGCTGGTTTGAAGTAAAGTTTGCATTCCATAAAAATACATATATTGAATGAAAAAATTTCGTCGTAAATTTAGTAATACCTTTTTTCAAAAGAAAGGAAAGAAAGCGTTAAAAAATAATGCAAGGCTTCTTTCTTTAAATTACGCGGCAAATACTGTACCCTAATTTTCAAGCTACTCTAGGTCTGTTTTCCATATTAAAAAATTAATTACTTCTGCTTCATCGAAAAATTGATTTATTGAATTAAGAAAATTTTATTTTTCTTTAGTTAACTTAGTAATATCGTAGAAAGAAAAAAAAATGGATGAAGAAATGAGCAATGTTTCATTTTCCATGATATACATAAACCAAATCATGCTATGATACTTTATCTGAAGAGTTTTTGTTCTTGTATAGAAATCTTAAGCCTAAGAACACCATACATTACAAGCATTTCATATTGTCGTTAGCATATATGTTATGCGACTGTATATCTTTAAACTCTCAACTTTGGACAGCTTATTTTTTGCAAATAATTTATGCAACAAAATATTTTCAGCTCTAAATATATCTCGGTTCTACAAAAAAAAAAGAATTTATGTTTTCTTTTTCTTTTTTAAAGAAAAATTGAGCTTTTTTATAGAACTATCAATTCAAGTTTCTCATTTATTTTTATGAATATAATTAAATCATTTATCCTTTGCTATGTATTATATATACTACGCATGTTATTTCGTATCTACTAAATAAATACTGCATCCTTTTATTCCAACAAAATATGTCAAGTATTATGAAAATAAAATTAATTTAAATTAAATGTATTTTACAATTATTAGAGGGAAGAGGGCGACGTTCTCTATTCGCCAACTTTATGTTGTGACTTTAGAATCCCAACACACTTTTCTGGTTTACTAAGATCTTTACGAAATAGCACTGCCAGCAATGATAAATGAACTTCACTGGAAAAAAAGAGAGATGTTCAATTTTTTTTCATTTGCAGCAATTTTTTAAAGGGAACAAAGCAAATTGATAATATTAACAATTCAGTGACATCATTTGTGGAAAACTTCCTAATAATCAGAAAAGTAAATTCTGCCACTATTTTGACAAGAACGGAGGAATTTACCTGGTTGCTTACCTGATTATTTACCTGAGTTTACGACTATTAATGTTGCCTCTGTAGCCTTGTAATTTTGAGATAAACCGAGAACACAAGGGAACTCTTGGGTGAAGCATTCTGTCAAACTAGCCTTCTTGGAGACCTTTTTGTGGAGAGCCTCATCCGCATTCGAGTTCAAGGAAAGGAAAATCTCGAAAACATTGCTCAGTTAGCCCGATGGCTAGAGGATTCTAACCCATGATCAAAAAACCACTGAGGAGTCAGCACTACAAAGCCGGGAGTATAATGCATATCAACCAAACACTGCTGGGATTCAAACCTGGGTTACCCCATTGGTCCGCATACGCTCTATTAACTGAGCCGCCAGGGCTCAGAACACGCACACACACACACACACACAAGATCCAAGCAGCAGGTGAGACACAGCATGTGATTAAGGTACAAACAGA